TTCATAAAAAATATTCCTTAACCAATTCTATAAAAACACCACACCTATCGACCTGATGGTCCTTGAAAAATCCTAAAAGTCCACGCCTGTCGATCTGATTGTCCTTGAAAAATCCTAAAAATCCACGCCTATCGATCTGATGGTCTCTGAACAAATTTTAAAAATCCACGCCTATCGATCTGATGGTCTCAGAACAAATCTTAAAAATCCACGCCTATCGATCTTATGGTCCTTTAAAAATCCTAAAAATCCACGCCTATTAAACTGATGGTCCTTGAAAATTAAGAAAATCCACACCTATGGTCTTTGAAAATTAAAAAAATCCACACCTATCGATTTGATGGTCTTTGAAAAAATCCCTTTTAAACTGATGGTCTTTGAAAAAATCCCTTTTAAACTGATGGTCTTTGAAAAAAATTCTTTAAAAAATCCACGCCTATTAAATGGATGGTCTTTGAAAAAAAATCTTTAAAATATCCACGCCTATTAAATTGATGGTCTTTGAAAAAAATTCTTTAAAAAATCCACGCCTATTAAATGGATGGTCTTTGAAAAAAAATCTTTAAAATATCCACGCCTATTAAATTGATGGTCTTTGAAAAAAATTCTTTAAAAAATCCACGCCTATTAAATTGATGGTCTTTGAAAAAAATTCTTTAAAAAATCCACGCCTATTAAATTGATGGTCTTTGAAAAAAATTCTTTAAAAAATCCACGCCTATTAAATTGATGGTCTTTGAAAAAAATTCTTTAAAAAATCCACGCCTATTAAATTGATGGTCTTTGAAAAAAATTCTTTAAAAAATCCACGCCTATTAAATTGATGGTCTTTGAAAAAAAATTCTTTAAAAAATCCACGCCTATTAAATTGATGGTCTTTGTAAAAAATCCAAGCCTATTAAATTGATGGTCTTTGAAAAAAATTCTTTAAAAAATCCACGCCTATTAAATTGATGGTCTTTGTAAAAAATCCACGCCTATTAAATTGATGGTCTTTGAAAAAAATTCTTTAAAAAATCCACGCCTATTAAATTGATGGTCTTTGAAAAAAATTCTTTAAAAAATCCAAGCCTATTAAATTGATGGTCTTTGAAAAAAATTCTTTAAAAAATCCACGCCTATTAAATTGATGGTCTTTGTAAAAAATCCACGCCTATTAAATTGATGGTCTTTGAAAAAAATTCTTTAAAAAATCCACGCCTATTAAATTGATGGTCTTTGTAAAAAATCCACGCCTATTAAATTGATGGTCTTTGAAAAAAATTCTTTAAAAAATCCACGCCTATTAAATTGATGGTCTTTGAAAAAAATTCTTTAAAAAATCCACGCCTATTAAATTGATGGTCTTTGAAAAAAATTCTTTAAAAAATCCACGCCTATTAAATTGATGGTCTTTGAAAAAAATTCTTTAAAAAATCCACGCCTATTAAATTGATGGTCTTTGTAAAAAATCCAAGCCTATTAAATTGATGGTCTTTGAAAAAAATTCTTTAAAAAATCCACGCCTATTAAATTGATTGTCTTTGTAAAAAATCCACGCCTATTAAATTGATGGTCTTTGAAAAAAATTCTTTAAAAAATCCACGCCTATTAAATTGATGGTCTTTGAAAAAAATTCTTTAAAAAATCCACGCCTATTAAATTGATGGTCTTTGTAAAAAATCCACGCCTATTAAATTGATGGTCTTTGAAAAAAATTCTTTAAAAAATCCACGCCTATTAAATTGATGGTCTTTGTAAAAAATCCACGCCTATTAAATTGATGGTCTTTGAAAAAAATTCTTTATCTTTATCTGTCTGATGATCGTTGAAGAAAAAATCTTTAAAAAATCCACGCCTATCTGTCTGATGATCGTTGAAGAAAAAATCTTTAAAAAATCCACGTCTATCGATCTGATGGTCGCTGAAAAAATAACCTTTAAAAATATAAGTGTAAATTTAAATATAGATTTACCTATTCCTGTTTTTATTTCACATCCTTCCACATTCCCCAACTTCAGCCAATCTCTCTCAATTTCATTTTGGAATATAAATAAGGGTCAAACATTTTAATAATATTTGAAATTCTTTTACTTTGTCCAGACTTACGGTTATTAAACCAGTTATTAAACGGTTTTTATGTAACCAATTTTCGCCAGTCGTTTGGCAAGAAAAAACCCCAGGCAAACTGATATTAACAACACATGTGGTATGTTTTACGTTTATGGTAGCGGGAAAAAAATCCTTTCTAAGGTCCAAACTCCAATTAAAACTTCACTACAACGGTGAAACGCTAAACTGGAGGAAAAAAATACAAACATCCCGCAGTTAGAATAATGGTTGTCCTCTTACAGTATACGGTTTCCCCTTTGTAGCCCATACCTCCTGGCGACTTCGTTCTTTTTTTTTGCTCTCCAAAGCAAAGGACAAAGAAAAACATGCAAAAATGTCAACTCTAGTAAATTGATACCACTTCCGTGGCAAAAGAAGAGCCATTTAACACTGCCACACTAGTGTTGGCAGTTTGTCTTCTTCTTCTGCTGCCTGGCTGGATGGCTGCCTGTGACTGTTACAACACAAATTTACATCAATTCGAACAATGTCGGAAGTCACGAAACCATCAATTTTGATTTAACAAAGTCACAGAGTTCACAATGACCTGACCCCAGGTTGTTAAGTTCCCTGGTGATGTTCGGGGCATAAAAACCCACCGAAACAAAATCGACTACGGGAATGATAAATAAAGGTAACAGTTTGAGGTATAGAGCTCTTAAACACTCTGACATCAAATCAAAAGGTGACAAACCGCGTTTTTTGTTCATGGTTTTTGTTTTTGTCGCGTATCATCGCCAGGATTTTGGCGGCCGTTATGTGTCGTTTTTCATAATTGACATTTTCAGTTGCCAATCTCTTCCTCTTACTGCTCTACGGACCCTAGTCACCGTTGTCGAACTGTCGAACAGTAATAAAGTATTACCAACACTTTTAACAGGGCTTAGATGAATGGAATAAAAAAAAGAAAGCAGGACATCACCTCCACAAAAATAGACACCAGATATCTGTGTTGCCTTAAATTGGGGTTTAATTCCAAAAGAAGCATTTAATATCTTGTGGTATTTTGATGTTATTTTGGGGCCAGCATACCATAGCCACGAAAAAATTAAAAAAACTCACACATGCACCCACACATTGTTTTAGAGTCAGACAGATACCATTCCAATTTTTTGTTTTTGGCGGTTTATGGCGAACAAACAAACCAACAACAAAATATTTTTAAGCGTTCTATGTCATTCTGTTTGCAGATGTTCTATTTTTTTCTTTTTATTGAAATTGAATGTGTGTGTTTTTTTCGAATAGCCTTTTGGCCATTTGTTGGCCAAAAATCAAACCAACAAATGTGGCCAAAAAGTTTTTAATTTTCGTCATGAGTTTTGTTATTCACATTTCGAATTTAGAGGGAATAATAATTGAGGGAAGGCAGAGAAATCTGGATTCATTAAAGAATTTTTTTCTACGACCTTCAGATTGATAGGCTTGGATTTTTTAAAGAATTTTTTTCAACGACCATCAGATTGATAGACGTGGATTTTTTTAAAGAATTTTTTTCAAATACCATCAGTTTAATAGGCTTGGTTTTGTTAAAGAATTTTTTTCAACGGCCATCAGATTTTTTAAGCGAATATTTTTCAAGGACCATCAGATCAATAAGCGTGGATTTTTTAAGGGAATATTTTTCAAGGACCATCAGATCAAAAAGCGTGGATTTTTTTAAAGGAATATTTTTCAAGGACCATCAACCCATACAAGACGTGGATTTTTAAAGGAATATTATTCAAGGACCATCAGATCAATAATATTTTTCAAGGACCATCAGATCAATAAGCGTGGATTTTTAAGGGATATTTTTTTCAAGGACCATCAGATCAATAAGCGTGGATTTTTTAAGGGAATATTTTTCAAGGACCATCAGATCAATAAGCGTGGATTTTTTAAGGGAATATTTTTCAAGGACCATCAGATCAATAAGCGTGGATTTTTTAAGGGAATATTTTTCAATTTTTTGTCAACTACCATCAGGATGATAGGCGTGGATTCTTTAAAGAATATTTTTTCTAAGACGTTCTTTGATAAGAGTGGCTTTTAACGAATTTTTTTTTTCAAAAAAGAAGAAATATTTTTTTAAAGAATAATTTTTCAAAGCACATCAGATCGATAAGCGTGGATTGTTTTAAAGAATATTTTTTCAAGGTCCATCAGATCAATAAGCGTGGATGTTTGTAATGAATCTTTTTCAAGTGCCATCAGATAAATAACCATGGATTTTTTAATAAGTGTGGAGTTAAAAAATATTTTTTCAAGAACCGCAACTTCAATATTTGTCCTATTAATAAACCAAATTTTTCAAGAACCATCATATCGATAAGCATGGATTTTTTCAAGTACCATCAGCAGAACCAATATATTGTGTAGAGTGGTTTTTCATATAAAGGTTTAAAGGATCAGCATAACATGAACGATTAATGGGGGTCATTTTGGTAAGAGGGTATTTTTCACAGTCCTTCGGAAGAACCTTCAGATACAATATATGTATCGAACGAAGAACGTTACTTTTATATTCATTGTGTTGCTTAAAAATGCATATTCTCAAAATATTATTTAAATAAAATACTTATTTTATATTTAATATAATTATTTTTCTTGTTTTTTTTCAGATGACTTTTTTCTAAGTCGCCACGAAACACGCAGAGCACCGAATCGACATAAATCTTCAAATTAAATAAATAAAAAAAAACATTGTATCCCAATCTCTCTTTTTGAACACGTTGCAAGAAAACTCTACAAAAATTGTGCGTTTCAAACAAGTTGTTGCCGCCAATTACGGCCAACCAACCTCCCAACACCACCACCACCACCACCAACAACACCAGCATAGTGCCCAGCACTATTCGTGCCCGACGTCGGCAACAACGGCAGCAGCAACCGTGCATACCAACCACAAAGTGAACAACTTTGAGGCAAAAATGCATCTGACAACGACAACAAATGGAGGTGGGGCCAACAATGCCAATAACACGGCCGCCTCCAATACGGCCAACAATAACAACAACAACAATTCGAATACACAGAATAACAACAATAACAGTTCGAATAATTCAAATGCCAATAACAACAACAACAGTTCCAATGGCAACAACAATTCGACAGAACAAAATACTCCGCCCACAGCAGCCCAGCTGCTCAATGAGGCCTATACAAAAATGACTTCGGATATCTTGGCCGAACGTACTTTGGGTGATTTTCTTACCGAACATCCGGGTGAATTGATTCGTACCAGTAGTCCATTGTTTGTGTGTACAGTGTTACCGCCCCACTGGCGTTCGAATAAGACACTGCCGGTGGCGTTTAAAGTTGTATCACTGGGCGATATTATGGATGGGACAATGGTGACGGTGCGAGCGGGTAACGATGAAAACTACTGTGCAGAGCTGAGAAATTCAACGGCGGTAATGAAAAATCAAGTTGCCAAATTTAACGATTTACGTTTTGTGGGGCGAAGTGGTAGAGGTGAGTAGACAAAATTTCATATTTATTAATGTTTGTTATGAATAAATGTACCTCTCGTACCTTGTCGTATAAGTGTTAGAGTATTAATTTATGTGTTCATCATACGCCACGTGTTATTGTTTTATTCCTAAAAATTAGGTTTCATGTTTAGAAATAGTAATCGTTAAATATGGCCATTAAATGTTACCAGAACGAGGTTAACCACCATAATGTAGTCAGTTTTTTTGTCTTGACAACGTCATTTAACGCCATTACTAATGTCAACAAATCGGGTAATTTGTAAAACAAATATATATTTTATTATAGTTCTAAGAAGACGAGACCATGTCATTGAGTTGTTGTGACATGTCAGAAAGCCATTACATGTTTATTACTACTATAAGAATTTATGTTTTTCGTTCGAAATATGATTCTTCTATTATATTGCTTTACATACCTATGTTCGATGTTATTCTCAGGCATGACGATAGTTGATCAAATGTCTGGCATGTCGATAAATCAAATAATTACAGAAGCGACGGTGCTGGTGCGGTGCGAAACAACTTAAGGGGGTCCCACCCTTTATTTATTATTATTTTATCAATTTTAGTTATAGTTTCGAAAACTAATCAAGGGCTTTTGAAATTGTAAAACAGCGCTTTTACGTTTACTGAACAACCGTTTCCAAATTTTAGCACTTTACTCGAGACAAACATAGCTCTTGTATAAACTATAATGCATACAATCGGTGAAGATCTTCCTGCTTTTCTAAATTGTTTTGTGACTGATTTTAAAAAAATGTTGAAAAGTCTTACATTTCCACTTGATATGTAGACCCTCCACCTTAAGAAATAGTGCATACCAAAATTGCCATTAAAATAAATATTAAGCTATGTCCGTCGGTTTGAACCAAATTTGGTCAAATTTTATATGTTTGATTCCCACTTTGAGGCACTTTTTCCTTGGTTGGGATTCTGTAAGGTGAAAAACGGGTTTAAAGAAAATATTCAATATGAGTTCATATTTTGATATGCTCCAAATTTTATATTTTTAGTTCTCATTCGGTGACAAATTTTCCCTTGGTTGTATTCTGGAAAGTTAAAATATTGAATATGAGGCCATTTTGATAGATAAACAAACTGTCAGGTACCTTAAAATGGAGGCTAAGTCAAAACATGAACCCGGAAGGATTTTGAACTTCTCTAAAAACGAGGACATGAAAATTACAAATTGGAAAATACATCGATATATGTTGGACGTGTTCTGTAATGAAATGGGTTTTCCACAGAATATCCGAACATCGAATTGCAGCCTTTGTAGTTTATATGGGATGGTATTTATACAAGGTACCGTTCCATATAAACTGGAAGAAGCTTAAAATCGTTTCCATATAAGGTGGCACGCAGTTTTTTATATTTTTAATGTCCCCCCATCATGTTGTGGTTAAATTGTTTTTTTGCTCGAAGGAGTGAGGAATTGGGAATTACTTTTTTATAATAAAAATACTACCAATCCAATCTACAATTTATAGCATTGTAGAGTCTGTATTCTATACCCCCACCATGAGGATGACAATCAAAATATCAAAAATTAATGGGAGCTTCTAGGCGAAAACTCATGTTGTGATAGGATCTAGAACTTTTTCGGAATTTTACGTTAGAAAAAGGTGATTAATATTCTCAATATGTCTTATAGTGGAGCTACCGTTATATGGGGCTAAAATAAAACGGAGATCAATATTGGTATGTTTTTGGTAGTGAGATATGTCAGCCAATGATAATACAAAATACCAAATTACACCCAATTCGGTTGAAAGGCTTGTCCAAAAATACCGACATTGGTCAATATTAATAACTTTTAGTCCGGGGATGTGGTGATACCGTTATGAGAACACAGAATACCAAATTACAGCCAATTTGATTGGAACCCGTGTCAAAAATTCCCATATTGGAAGGACCACATTGTGGGGGCTATGTGTTTAATGTTAAAAGCTTTTAGTACTGAAATGTTCTATAGAATAGTAATACAAAATTACAGCCAAGTTGGTTGTAAAACGTGTCCAAAATCCCTAAAATACCGAATATTGAAGGGTGCCGTTATATGGGGGCTACCCTTAAACTTGGGTCAATATTAATAATGCTTAGTACGGGGATGTGCTCTGCAATGAGAACCTAAAATACCAATTCGGTTGGAAAACATGTACAAAATCCTAAAAAATGAGGAATAATGGGGATAGCGTTAAATGGGGCTACCCCGAAACTTAGGTCAAAATACCAAATTACAACTAATTCTGTGAAAAAACGTGTCATACTGAATATTGGGGTGTGCCATTATATGGGGGCTACCCTGAAACATAGGACAATATTGATAATATGCAATGATAACAAAACAAAAATGATAACAAAAAATACCTCATTACATCTAATTCGGTGGAAAAACGTGTTCAGAATCCTAAAAATGAGTAATATTGGGGATAGCGTATATGGGGGCTACCCTGAAACTTGGGTCGATATAAATAATTTTTGGTACAGATATGTGTTATTCAATGAGAACCCAAAATACCAAATTACAGCTAATTCTGTGAAAAACCGTGTCCGAAGTCCCAAAAATACTGAATATTGGGGGTACCGGTATATGGGGAGCTACCCTGAAAATTGGGTCAATGTTAATAATTTATAGTATAGAGATGTGCTATGCAATGAGAACCCGAAATACCAAATTATAGCCAATTAGGTGGAAAACGTGTTCAAAATCCCCAATGTACCGAATATTGGGCGATACCGGTATATGGGGGCTACACCAAAAGGTCGACCAATATATCTTATTAGCAATACCAAACACTCTAGGAATATTAGCAATGTATGCGAAAATTCAAGACTCTAACTTAGATATTGCGATCTCTGTCGTGATTTCAAAAGACGGACAGACGCACTTGCGACATAGAATTTTATGCCGATCGACAATATATATACTTTTTCGAAATGTTGCAAACGGAATGACAAATTTAATGTGCACTCCACACTTAAACAGCATTAACATTATAACTTTTTCCCAGATTAACATTTTTTTTTGTGGATTTATTTGACATACATGCAATGGAATTGACAATTTAAACCCACTCGGTTAAGGAACTGCGGTACAATGTAAACGTACTATAGTACTCAATTCGCTGTAATAAAGCTTTTGATTTTTATTGGGATACATCACAAACGTGTCCTAACAGTTGGAATTTTTAACGCCAATTACGGTTCAACGAGATACCTTATGAAGACCAAAAATTGCTTAACCCTTTCAGTGTTTTTGTCGAATATATTCGACATTTAAAATTACTCTCTTCCTTTGCAATTTTTCCGTTATCCTATGTACCGTTACAATTGATATCTATGTTTTTGCTGAAAGATAGACAAAACTGTCCGAGGGTTAAAATAAGAATAGCTTTTTTTCTAAACTCTGTGCCTTCATATGATTTTAAGTAAAAAATTTTAGATTTTTATTCCGAAAAAAAAAATTTTGACACTGAAAGGGTTAAGATTTGCGAAGTGTGACTGCAAGATTTTTAAATTTTTGTAAAGAAATTCCATAATTTGAATGTGCAGTTGAAGCGTGTAGCTATGCCAAAACGTCGACCGTACCTAAAATGGTGTGGAACATTTACAAGAGATCTTATCAAAAAATTTAATCGTTTATTTATTTATTAGTTACTGATAAAGGCTACCTTTATGGTAGCCTCCTTAGATATAATATGCCTATGTGGGGTATTTTTTAATTCTAGCAATACTTCTAACAATTCCATTTTCGATTTTCTTCTATATCCTCAATCGTAGAAAAAAGGTTTCCTTTCATCAGTTTCTTCACTAGCGGGAAGAGGAAAAAAGTCAGAGGAGCCCAGGTCCGGTGAACACGTTGCTTGAGATACGTTGTTTACCAAAAATTTGCGAACAAGTATCGATGAGTGATTTTTTTACAATTCTGTGCGAATTTCTTTGCGCAAACGTTGCACAACTTAAAAGTAACAATACCCTATTGGCCTATGAACTTGAGAGTAGTGTTATTGATGCACGACGCCATTGCGATCGAAGTAAACAGTGAACGAAATAATCATATTTCACCAAACTTGTTTCTTATTTCGTTCATATTCTCGGCATACCTTAAATCGGTTATACCATAATTGTGCATTTGGGTTATTTTATATGTCAAATACAACAACAACTTGACAATCCAATACTACAACATATTTCACAGGCATATGCACCAACATAACAGAAAAATGCGGAAATATTATATACCTAAATAACATTCAGGATTCCTAAATCACAAAATTTGTAAAATTATGAGATAATCCTCCTAGATATTTGGTTGTAGCTCCTGTAATAATAACTCGATCAGTAATTGGATTTGAAGGCTGCAGTCACATTTTCCAACCGAGGCATTATAAATTTTGAAACAGTACGGCGGGGGGATATAAAAACTTACTAAATGATTTTTCTTTTATCAAATTGAACATCACACTATACACGTTTTACAACCCATACTCCTTTCTAACAAAGTGCCAAAAACTATTTCTATATATTCCCAACTTAAACAATAGCCTATCCATTTATGTACAACAAAAAACTCTATTAGCTACAAAAAACGACTCAAATCCACTTTAGCAACTTAATTTTCTATATTACTCTACAAACAAAAAAATGCCATGTAATTGCTAAAAAGAAGAGCGAACTTTTAATTTGTGTTGTATTGTGTTGCGTTTAAAAAAACACAACACTACCACTTAAAAAGTTTTATCTTGAATAGTGGCGGGAAGGTATGACAGATTTCAGTCTTTCATTTCTCATTCTGTTGCACACGCTGGCATTTTGGAAATCCCTTCAATTTAACAATACAAAACAACAGCAATTTGGTTGGAGCGGCAGCAGCAACATTCCGTTGTACCAATGCAGACCATCATCAACACCGACAACAACAACAAAATATTGTATGAGTGTGTGTGTTTTTTTCCTTTTTGCTCCAAAAAAATGCTA